ATTGTTGATTCAGATATTTATTGGCCCAACGGCCTCACGATAGATCTGGATGAGCAGAAACTTTACTGGGCTGATGCAAAACTGAGCTTCATCCATAGAGCAAATCTGGATGGTTCTTTTAGGTAAGTTCCCTTCAACTAATAGTATCTTGTGAACTGTTTATCTCCCAGCATTCATTTTGAACTGAGGCATTTACATTAATCTAAAACAGTGGCAGGGCCTTATTGTTCTCACTAAACCCAACTGTTAATAACTTTGCAAAAATAAAGCAGCCTCCCACAGTCATAAAACTCGTTTTATAAATTGAAGTAAATGTATTTGTGTCATTTCACTATGGATTGTTCATAAGCTTGTTCTACAGCATAGTTTTGCTTTTTTCAGTTTATATTTATCTTGAAAATATCTGGAAATCTTTATCACTGGCCGTAGGCAATCTAACATTTAACTAATGTTACTGGGATTTTACAATATTGTTATTGTCATTTTTTTTCAATAGTATCTTGAGAGATGTTTATCCAACGATATTTTTCATGGCATGCCTATAAATTAACCAAACTCTGCTCGTTTTAGACAGAGTGAGCTGGAAGCTGCTGTTCTTGCAGGCTTGATGGAAAGCACAGGATGGCAGTTTGGTCCAGTGGGCTCAGGTCCAGCTATCCCCACTGCAGAGACAGAGATTGCCCCTTCAGACAGGCCAGACCTAGATGTTTCAGTTTGTACTTTGAATTCTCTCCCATGGTTGATGGGCAGGTTGGGTGTCATCTGCCACTGAAATGTCCTGCCAAGGAAGCCAACTTCCGCCTTCTGCACTGGCTCTGATCTTCAGGTACTTTAAAAAAAAATTATCCTGCTCAATAGTCAGTGATTTACTGAGTGCTACACAGCAGTTCATTTATATATGATTAATAAAATGCTCTTGGTCTGATCGGATGAAAAAAAGAGTGATGCTGCCTTGAGTAGGGCCTGCCAGCTACTGGGGTTGTTTTGGTGTTCAGGAAAGGCCAAAGTAAGTGCTTAGGAGTGGCCTCACAGTGCTGTGTTGATACAGTTGGCTGTAGTGTTCTGAGAAGTGACGCTATATTCCTGTGATAAAGTAATGCATTCTCTAAAAAGTGTGTTAGACAATTGTTGCCATCACAGAAGAGTGTGGAATCTATTGCTCTGCACTGAAGCAAAGAGCAAGAAATATTGAGAACTCCATTATCCAGCTTGAATCTTCTTGTCCTGCAACACAGCTTTGGATGCTGAGATTTTGGCACTCGTTCTAAAGAAGTCTGCCTTGAGGAAATAAACAGAGGAATGCTGGAATCTGGTAAAATGCAATTTGAATGGTCACTTGTCTTGGTGGTTGCTATCTCAATGTGTCAACAGCCCCCTAAGGGGAATTGGAAATTACAATGACTTTTATATAGTGCCAATTTATGTATTTTAAAGCATCCAAAATATGTCTCTTATGAAATCATTTTGCCATGATTAATTTTTATTTAGTGTGTATATCTGTGTAATAGCATAATATGCCTCACTGCAAAAACACTGCATTTTTCATGGTCTTTTCTATTTTTTTTTTTTTAACAGAAATGTGTTGTGTGCCTGATTTTCACACTCATAAAAGATGGATAACAATATTGACATCCTTTATAAAACACTCTAAGTTCCATTGATAGCACTATGTAAGAGCTAGATAATGGTGGCATTGTAATAAATGACAAGTACTAAGTGATGGTCAGAAGTAGAGACAAGGGAAAAAGCTTTTTCAGAAGGGAGTGGGAGCTCAAAGGCGCAGTGCAGGTTCATAGGCTGAAAGAAAATACCAAATTTTTCAAACGTGTATGTAAATATATTTCTCTAATTTGGGGGTGGGTAGCAGATGGGAAAGTTTGTGATCTGATTCTGCATTTCTTGTACACATACTAATTGTATAAAAGTTACTTGAAAATGTATATGTGTCAAAACGTGAAATTGTAACTAGTAAGAGAATTTTATTTTCTTTTTATTAAGAAAGAAAAAGACAACCTGTAAGGGATCAAGTCTTTCAACTATACACTAATCCCAGCAGTCTGTCTGAATTGCTCATGATAGATTAGTGCATGTCTACCTCCATGTCCCTGAGCTGCATGTATTTTTATATTGTACCATAAGGGAAATTGATAATTTAGGAGAAAAAAATAATGCATGCATCACTTGGATGCAAAAAAACATTTTTTTATGCATTAATATATTTTCTTTGCATATTTTACTCTCGACTGTTGGAGAGCTTGAATATATGCTTGGTGTCAGGCTGTCCCCATGCGGGATGCATTTCGGAGAGCCCTTTTATTTTTACAGCTGCATAGGGACTTTTAAAGCATTGTCCAATATAATGCCTGTGTATATTTTAATGTATATTTTATAATGTCACTATATGGTAAAACTACCTTCTTAAAATGTTATGCATAGTAATAAAATTCCACAAATATTGACCTTAAGGGTTTTTTTTTTTTTTTAAAATTTTTTTCTATTATTTCTCAAAGTTGAAAAAACCTTTGGAATAAAATTGGAAGAAAAGTGAGCTGCTTCATATGTGAATAAGTGTGAGGGAGGAAGTGGCCTCTGGTCTTTAAACAGAATAAAATAAATTTCTCACAGACTTCTCAACAAAGAAATCTTCTGGTATTTCAAACCCTTCTACTCCTATCCCAGAATCACTTCAGAATTCAAATAAAATGGAAGTTGGCATTCTCTGTAGCGGAGCAACCTGCCTTTCATATATTAGGGATATCATGACGGGAGAGTGGAAGTCTTAATATCTGGAATATCAGAACGAGGGAAAATAGTGACAAATAGTGACAAATAAGTGCTGCAAACCTAGAAATTTCAGCAAGTTCAGCCAATGCTGTGGGTAACAAGAAGCAACAGTAAAGGTGAGAATGAGAAGGGAAACCCATGTTTGTATTTTTTTTAAATATGTTTTATGGTGAGAGAATTAGTATAAGCTGAAGGACAGAAATTTAAGAGCACTTTTAATTTTATCTCTGACACAAAAGATAGAATTGTTTTGTTTTCTTTTTCCTGCAATTTGTTGCAAAAGCAACTTTTGTGTGTGACACAGGGTGAACACATGAAGAATTTGGGGGGGACCCTTTATCCAGGAAAATGCAGATGCTGCCATCGCCCATGAAAAGGACAGAATCGTTTCTCTGTCAAGTGGTAGCTGTTTTTTTTTCCCCAAACTCTACGGAAACAAGGCAACTGCAGATGTGATTAGACATGTATGAAAATGTGTTCCTCACTTTGCCTCAGGATGATGCTGACACTTGAGCTTTCCTAAAGCTGTGTAATGGAAATTCTGAATACTGGTTTACTATATCAGAACAGTGGTTAGGAAGGTTTATGTCTGCCTCAGTATAAATGAAGCAGCCTTGAATGCTGTGAAACTGAGTTCATATTATTTTGACTGAGAAGTTGTCAAATAAATGTGCTTTTTCTCAGCAAATGCCCCAAAATTGCAGAAAGTGAATTACACAAAATTATTGCAATGTGTGTGTTCAGGAAAATATGCTGGAAATGTTGCATGATTTGCAACTTTCAATTCCTCTTATAATAACTGATGAAAGGAAGAACACTCAAAAATAAGGAATATGATTTTGAATAGAGTCTGGCTTTCGTGATGGATGACATGAAATTTTGTTGACTTGTTTCATGGCAGAGCCTGACAAAAGTAAATAGGATTTCATAAAAGATAGACTAATCACAGAAGATGCTGTGATTCTGCATGTGAAGTTTCCTTAAGTTTCTAGCTTTCACCTGGAGGCCCAGGGTGCAGCCTTCTACCGAATTACAGCAGAGTGAAGAGCAGGTGCTTTATTCAGGCCCAGATTTATTGTGAGCCACACCAATAGGAATATTGGACATCCTGCAAAGTCTCTGGCATTTCAAATGTCTGCAAAAACACTGCTGGAGAATAAACTCTCCAGCCTGGAAAAGTTAATTGAAGGGGCAGGAGAAGGGCAAGGAAATAGGGAATGTGTTAACAGAAATCTGTCATCGAGTTGGAGCTTCTTACGTGAAGAATAAGATATTTAAGGGATCTTGCAACACTGAGCTTTCAAAATCACTAAGCTGACTTTTTTTTTTTTTTTTAAATGCAGTGTGGGCCGCTGCAGAGGAAAGAAAGTTTGGTCTTGGTACTAGACTAAATACAATTTTAGATGCTGTTAAGCAGTCTGTGACTTTGTGATTCTGCAGGAAAAGTTGTCGCTCTCCATTTTAAAATATAATCTGAAAAGAAAGTTTTTGTTGTAGGTCAAGCTGAGTGGAAATAATTTAAGGAGACTCTGAAGATGTTTTTTTCCTGCTGTAAGAAAGGATGGGGTATGACTGCTAGAGCCAAAATGTGGAAGCTTGAGTCTCTTGGGTCAACTTGGCATATGTTGCATGAGAGGACAGAAAAGTGATGTGTTCACTGGGCGGAGTGCAGTGTAGGAGCGTGCTGCAGAGCTGCTTCCTCCAAGAGGTCGTTGTGTCTGCGTGTTTGCCCAGTCCTGTCAGGGGACTTTGGTGTGGCCTTACAGAAGCCAGTATAGAGCTGAATCAGATAGTTTGTTGCTATGAAACACTATGTTTGTTTCCTTATTGCTATGAAGAAGCTAAACAAAGTCCAAATTTTCATGTCTACGTTACGCATCACTTAAGGTGCCTGCCATTGCGCCCCGTGAGCATGCTAATGTGATGTAACTTGTGGTCACTAAAACTAGGTGTTTGATTTTCTTCCACATGGTCTCTCAGAGAGGAATTCTCAAGCTTGTACTGCTATAGCTGCTGAGAGCAGTGATTTGTTTGAAAGGATTTTCAAAGTTGATGTGTTTTAAGAGGAAAACTTATTTTCAAGGTCAAATCAGACAAAAGTCTGTAACAGAAGTATGAAGGTTGGTAGTTGTTTTTAAGATGCAACAGAGGATGACATATGCCAAGTAGTTTATGAAGATATAAAATAAATGCATCAGAAATGCATTTCCTACAGATTACTATAAAAACTTGTTTTAATTTTTCCATGTGCTTGTTGCTTCCATTACCAGATGAATCTCCAGTTCCAATTTATTTGTTAAAAGAGGATAATTCTTTAGATGAGTATTTAAAAACACATTGACATTTCTTCTGTGTGTATCTAGTGAAAGCTCTATATGTTAATTCTTGCTTTTCCTTTGACCTAGGCAAAAAGTTGTTGAAGGGAGTCTCACTCACCCGTTCGCACTGACGTTATCTGGAGACACTTTGTATTGGACAGACTGGCAGACACGCTCCATTCATGCCTGTAACAAAAGGACAGGAGAAAAAAGGAGAGAAATACTGAGTGCCCTCTATTCACCGATGGACATCCAGGTCCTGAGTCCAGACCGACAGCCATACTGTATGTGTCATTTTTCTCTAAGCTTCTCAAATGGCTGATCTATTTGGCCAGAAAAACAATCATTTCTACAGTCCAGAATTGATCTTGATAATATTCAGTCTGTTAATGAATGTTGAAGTATGAGAGGGACTTAGTCTTGAGCTTTTATATGAAACAGATATTGTCTCTCTTTTTTTTGTTCATTGTGTATGATGTGTCCTCAATAAAAGCCATGTGTGGAGAATGTAGAATGGAATCAGTCTGTATGCATTTTGTGTCTGCATGAGGGTGATTTGTCTAGGCTGGCGTGGGGTGGTTGTGAGAATGAGACTTAAGAGCGGCAGATGCAAAGGCAGAGATCAAAAAGCAATAGAGTGGAAAACTCAAGTAACGCAACGGCCTTGGGAAGAACCAGCTCTTGCTTACGGCAGATACTCTTGCCAGTCGGATTGCCCTATCATTTCAGCCGGCCCTAAAGTTTCCTTTCCTAAAGATAATGCTTTTATAGGAGCAATAAAGTATATAGGATGTCAATGAGCACGTTTGAAAGTAAACAAGTGACTGCTGGTGTGAGTACCACAAGCTAAATTAGACACAATTTTTTATTTTTATGTTAAAGCAATTTAAATGCTCATTCAAAGCACGAATGATTTGACAGTTTCATGTTTCATCTCTTGCAGTCATTTTTGTTCTTCTACCCTCAAAATGTTTAGTTTTTAAAATTTTTGAGGAACAGAGAAGAAAGACAAAGTATTCTGTCTGCTTTTCCTAAAGCTGAAGTAGTATCTAAGGGACTTTGCATGTTGCCTTTCTATATTTCCTGTTAATTCAGGGATATGTCTTACTGTGAAAAGCTTGTGATGAGAAAAAATAATATCCAGAACTGCTGCAATGTACACATTCCTATACTGTTCCTTCCCTTGCAGAACTGGGTGCTCCTCCACTCGCACTCTCTTGTTCTTTTATCATGCTGCTTGGAAGGCCAGGCTTTGACAAAGCCACTGGTGTCCCAAGTTCTTAGCAATGTGCAGCTTTACAAACACCGGAGAACTGTATAGTGGGAAAGAGCTGCCAGTTCTTTCAAGATCATCTTTTGAACATCTCAATTTAGACGCCCCACAAGAGACGCTTTTGCTGGGGTGGAAGGCTGAATACGAAATACTCCTTATTTTGTAGTTCCTCTGTCTTTTAGCACTAACTAAAGCCGGTGTTAGTCAATTCAGTTCAGTATGGAAGGAGGAAGGCTTTAGGACTCCGCTAAAAATAAAATAGAAACTTTTTGTTTGTTTGTTTCTTGAAGTTCACACTCCTTGCGAAGAAAACAACGGTGGTTGCTCCCATCTGTGCCTGCTGTCTCCGAGAGACCCCTTCTACAGTTGTGCCTGCCCCACGGGAGTGCAGCTGGAAGATGACGGCAGGACTTGCAAATCAGGTAGGAATGTCTTGGATTTTCTACAGTAACAGCATTGGCTTGAGTTGGGTTTGCTGCGTGGAAGTTGCTGCTTAGAAGTTGAGTCTCTTGGAGGAAGCTCTTGTAGGACTTCTTTTCATTTGGGCAGTGGACCATGGGCAAGAGGTTTGCTGCTCCCCATGCGCTGGCTAGTAGCTGCTCATGCAGTAGCACTGACTCTGCCGTTGCCTTCCAGTTGTCTCAAAGGACAATTTGCTTATGACATGTTCTGGATACTGATGTGCCAGCATGGCTGGTCAAAACTAAGTCCATGCACTCCTGGGTCATTTCAGAGGTAACGTCCTACGTTGTTCCTGCTTTATGTAGTTTTATGAATAAATAATCTGTATGGAAAAATGCTAAAATAGAATTAAAATAACAACAACAAATGTCATTCTACTGCTGCTGAAGGTTAATTGTTCTTCTCATTCCTTTTGGGCTGTTCCTTGTCCAAGAGAGACACAAGATAAGACACAGGGAAAACTTGCTGGGGTCTAGTTTAGGTGCTTGAACTGAAGAGCATAACTGGGTGTATGTTGTGTATCCATAAGCTGCGTGAGGCAAGATGTGTGCTTGGAGATTTTTTTTTTTCTTTTTTTCTTCTCCTCCTTATGATCAATCAGGAAGCCTCTTTTACAGTATGTCCCTTGTGAAAATGAGGGATTAACCCTGCTGTGGCTGGGGGCACATGCAGGGTAGGGTCTTGAAGAAAGTTCTGCCAGTGGTCTGAAAGACTTTGCTAATACGAGGAGTACAGTCATTTTCTGATGTGGCTCGATTCCTCTGAGTGCTAAAGCAAGCATAATAGACTGTTTTCATTTGTGAGCTTGAAGCAGAATTTTAACACTGAACCTACAGAGTTTAAGGGCCAGCTTCATTAGCTCATCCTGCTGGGATTGAAAGACTTATAAGGTAGTTTTTGCAGCTGCTGAAAGACCTTTCATTTCCCTTCTTCTGGCCCTGGAAAGTTTCCCTTTCACAGCTTTTAAAAAACATTGCTGAATGCTCAGGACACCCTTTTAGACATCCATATTGACCTCGTGTTTCTGGCAGTGGGGAATGAAGGTCAGGCTGCTTTTGGCATTTTGGCAGATAGCACAAACAGGAGCAACTGCTTAGGCTGTGCTTTCACCTTTCCATTGTCAGGCCAGACAGTCTGTCAAGAGTTTTGTGTCAAAGGAGGGCAAAAAAGTGGGATGGGAACAGGAAGTCTGGTTTTGCATAAGAATGTGGCCTTTTGGTTCAGTTTTATGGATTATTTCTTTCCCAAGCCCCACATCTTTTGTGGTCCCGTCTGCCTTATGCCAACATCCATGTGCTTCTCTTTTCCACTCTTATTAATTAACTCCTTGTTTGCAAGGAACTGACTTTTTGTTCTTTGCAGGAGTCCTTTGTGATAGTTGTGTTGGGCACTCTGGCTGCAGCAGTGTTGACCACCTCTCCGTTTTGTTCCCTATTAGATTGGGCAAACATTATCAGCTTATCCGACATTAGGCTTTTAAGTGAATTGCAAAAATGGTACCAAGATTTGTGTCTAAGAGGAAAAGGCATTCTTAGTTTTCAAAAATCTGTGCCCACATGCCGAGTTTACAGGTACAACTATGATGTTACTGTACAGCTCCACAAGTAAGTAAGTATTCTTGTGTAGAAAAGCCTTTTGAGGCTTTTAAGTGACTTCAGCTCTTGGGTCCTGAAGAGTATACATATGCAGAATATTTGGATGTGAGAGAGAACTCTGAAGCTCTCTGCAGAGCAAGTGTCTTGAATGGTGATAGGCCTTGGTAAGGGAGGAAGAATTCCCTGGCAGGCTCTTCCGCTCAGTGCTTTGTTACAGGTTGTGTCCTCATGCATCGAAACGCCAAAGCTCTGGATTTTTGCTCTAATTCCAAATGCAAAACTGTTGGTTTGCTGAGGCTATGAGAACTTTATCAATGTAAATTGCCTCTCATTCTCTAGTTTTGGCTTCCAGTGTTGGTTTGTTCTTGCTTTCTTTGTGGTTCTACACTGTTGCTCTGTATATGGGGAGAGTTTGCAGCTGGCCTTGAGTACAAGTTGCTTTCTGTGAAGGCCTACTTGTTTTATGCAGGTAGCTGCTCTGGAGTTGCATCTCTGCAGACCTGTGCTGTTGGTCTGTTTTGCTCTGTCTGTCTGTGGCCTCCTGTGTTCACTGACAACATGAACCAGTCCTTACAAAGTACCCAGAGAACTGCTTGCATGGAGCTGTTTGCAATACAAGGACAGGTTTTGTACTTGTAAAAGGAATAAAAGGCCATAATTACAAGGTTATCATGAAAACAAAGTGCCTTTTGCCTGAAGCTTTAGTTTTTGAAGCTTTCTCCTTTCTGTCTCCTGTCCCTCAATGTGTGTAGCTGAATTAGGAAGAGAGAGGCGGGTGTGGTATTAGAAAGGTGTTAGCAATGTGGCCCTTGTCCCAGTGTGGATGTGCTTGTTCTTCACTGTGTTTGAACTCTGAAGGTGCAGCCAAGGTGACTGTATTTTTGGCTGTTTTAGAGTTCGGTGACGAGGTTGCAACCTTGCATCTTACTCATCATCTTAGCAAAGCTGTTTCCTGAAGCAGTTCAGGGAAAATGCTCTGGGTTTGCTTGAAGCCCCCGTACCAACAAGCAGAGGCTGGACAACTTGGAATCAGGATCAGCTGCATGTGACCTTGCCCTTAGGAAAGTAAGCACTCCAGCCAAGAGTTTTGGACTTATTAAATCCCCTTACCAGAAGGCAGGCAAGCTGCTAGATGTGCTAGAATTGTGCACATCTTTGGGACCCTCGAATGAAAGGAACTGTTAATGAACTGTTCTAATTCCATCCAGCTGTGCTCGCTGCTGCCCTTCAACAGAGGGGCTCTGCTCTGCAGGGAGGAACGAGCGCAACGTGTGTGCGAGGGGTGTGCTGCTTTGTGGCCTCCTTGTTAAGGTCAGCCGGTTTATCGCGGGCTTGCTCAGTAAAAGGTTGTAGTTCTCACAACACACTTAACCCAACCTAGTTGCCAATGCAAAAGTATTTTCCGTTGCTGTGAACAAGAGTTAAGTAGCACGGGAAAAAATGGTAAGAGTTTTCCATTAAAAACTTTGGTGTTTTATGCATGCCTGCCTTCTTCTTTTTATCCTTCTTTTCCTTGAGCTCTTTCCATTCTCCTGTTAGGGAGAAATATATATATCATATATATATATATATTTGAACATTTGAAAGAAGGCCTCTTTTCCCCCAATTGATCCAACTTTATGTGGAAACCAGAGCTATATTTTTATACTGCATGTCTCTGAGCAGAGCTGTAGCAGCACTGGGGCTATTTTTGCTGCTGTTTGGATTTTAAAATATGATCTTTGTGGATGTGTCCAAATATTGAATTTCAGCTAGGTGTTCAGACCTGCTCTTGTCCATTTAGAAGCTGGTGAAATCCCAGTATGTGACGGCCAGCAGAGCCCCAGGCCTGGTGTGAAATGGCTGCACAGCCTCACAGGAGCAGCTGTTACACCCTGTAACTCCCAGGGAGACTGAACATGGAAATTTCTTGTTTCAAACGGTAGCTTAACTTTTGACTTTAAATGACTTTGAGGGGCTTTTTTTTTTCTTTCTTTTAATTATTATTTTAATTTTCCTTGCATTTATCTAACATTAATCTTTAACCAACTTGTTTGTGTTCCTGGGTCTGTTTTACAATGTTGGTGAGGGCTGCTGTCACAAAGGTGCTCCTTCTCCTTTCCCTTGGTAGGATCTGGTGAGTGTGATTACTGACCCAGCAGTGCTTTGAAATGCAAGGAGAAAGACATAGCTTGCATCCTGTCTCCCATAGCAAGCCATATGAATCTTGCTTAGCCTGCAGTGCAATCTTGAGGTCGTAGCTGCAAGTCATCTCCTTTTGGTTTTTAAGAATGAGCAGCTTCATCTTCCTCATGCTTTTTATTCTGGCAGTCTTTTCTCTTGGCTTCTTTTCCTTGGGACCCACGAAACAGAATGAATTCATCTATTTCTGACCACAGCTCTGGTGTAGCTTTGATATAATTTGCACCACTTGATGTGAATATTCCCAGACAAAATGGAAACCAGGCTCTTTCCATCTTGTTCCGCTTTTCTGGAGTGAATTTGCTTGACTCAGCCAGAAAGAGGTGCAGTCTCAAAATGTTGGATGACTCCTCCTGCTTTTTTCCTTCCCTCCTTTGGCTTGCCATGTGGTTCAGTTTAATCACATTCAGACAAGTGTAGAGGATTGTGATGTGTCTTGTCAGCTAATTACGATTAAACCCTCATACCATAGGGCATGTATCTTTCCAAGATTGAGTCCTTTTTTGTAAATAGTGTTCAGCCTGTCGTCTTTTTTATTTCCTTCTGGAAAATACATAGTTTTTTGCTGTATTCACCATTGCTAGCATACAGCTATTGCTGCAGGCCTTAGAGATGAACATCAAAAGCCTCATCTTTTTTTCTTAAAAGTGGATATGGCTTCTTGTTTACCAGTAAAAGGTCCCTCTAGCTTCTTAAATTGCCTCTTTTGAAAACACAACATGAAGCAGCAAAGGCTCTCCCTCTCATTGCACATCATTTTCTGGTATCATGATACCAAATAAGCCAACCTGATTTGGACTAAAATTACTTTAACTGAATTAAAAAAACCTGTCATCTGTGGCTGATACCACAAACTATTTTGAGTGAGGGCTCCAATACTGCTCCTTTCCCACCAAGTTGTAGCTATGGCTACAGAGTTGTAAGGAGTAGAAGCAGCTTGGACTTCAGCTAATATTATTTATAACAAATCTGTTAACTTTAGTAGAGGCACTCAGAGCTTTGTAAGCTGAAAATCAGTCCAGGATCCATGTAGTAATTTCAGGAAGCAGCATTCCCCTGAGGCTTTAAAACCATTTTCCCATTTAATTCTTGTTTCTCAATAAATGCATAATGCTTTGCTACAGTATATGGGTAAACTACAGAGCTTTATTTGCAGCTCCATTATAACTGTTCTGTTTGGTCTG